CAAGTCAAGCTGCAACAACCCAAATTCAGGCTAGATATCAGGAAAAGCTTCCTCACTGTCAGAGCAACACAACAGTGGAACCAGCTGCCTGGAGAGGTGGTGGGTTCTCCCACACTATAGATATTCAAGATGAAACTGGACAGTCATCTGAGTGGGATGGTGTAACGTGGTGTCCTGCAGCAGCAGGGGGTTGGACCTGATGGCCTTCATGGCCCCTTCCAACTATACTGTTCTATGATTCTATGACCCCAGTTTTGCCAGTTTCTTTATTAAAATATTGATTCTAAATATTGACAAAGCTGCTAAGCATACATGCACAAAAGCCCAACTACTGCTACATATACCTAGTCCCTAGTTGTATCTCTCTGAAATCCAAGGTTTATCAGACCACAACACTGTTGAGCTGCTTTTCTGTAATGTTATAAATATACACACAATTGCACACATGTAATTGCCAGACACTTAGGGAATAATGACATTTACTGCTCAGATTTTAGGAAGACTATTGAGAAATGTCAGAAATGCTTATATAATGATAAGGATAGTTTTTCACACTCATGCTCATGACAATCGTTCTTCACTGTTAAATGATAGAAGAGGAGAATGACATTTCCTGAAGGCACCTGGTTAGTGTTGAGATTTATGGAGGTATGTCAGGTTTTCCTGACACTTTCTACTGGAGTGCATAAAAGTCTCCAGTAAATGTAACATTTGACACTTTTTGGACAAAGCAACATGATGCTTCTGGCTCTGATCTGTCTGTGCATAGCGACCATAGCCAAGCTTCTTCACATACTGCTTCCTGCGCTCTCACCGGACAGCTAATAGGGAGCATTGCTAACTGGGTTTTCTTACAGGGTTCTGCATACTTAGGCACGGAAGCTCCCCAGGCAGTCACCACACTGACATTGTTATTGTTATCTATACATGGAGGGTTCCTTATGCACCTAGGGATACATGCACAAAAGCTTATTCTACTGCCACATATACCTGGTTCCTAGTGGGAACAATGAGACTGTATAGAGCATTTCTTATTTATTTATGGCTACCATTTTGTTTACCACTGGAAATTTCAAGAATTAGCCATTTCCACTGATTATCTTCATTAATGAAATGTCATAGTTTTTAATTCATCTTCAGACGGACACTGTCTAATTTCGGTTTGCCATTACCTGATGAAATACTTTTCATGTTCCATTTTGTCTTACATTTTTAGCTGCTCTTATCTTATACCCTTCATGTCTTTGTAAGGCCTTCCTGCAATCCACTTAATAAATCATGATGGCTCATTTTGTTCCGAACTGTAATAGTCCTGGAATTTTTCATAGTGATGGAGACAGAAATTCTACTCTTCAGTCTATAAATACTTATGCGTGTGTGCTTAATGCTGGTAACCAAACCGAACAGAAAGTAGCTTTTTTCTTCTCCAGAGAATGAAGTTACTGATGTATGTGGTTTCCTGTTAAGGAAATTAAAGCATAGGAGACACAGCAAAGATGTAGTATCTATTTTCTGAAGTCCTCTGCAGCTGAGCTTTGCAAAAAAAGCAAGATCTATTAGAGTCTGGCTATCAGGAGGCATCATCTATGTGAACATTTACAATGCAAATGTATGCTTCAGTCATGCAGTACAAATTGTGATTATTGCTAACTGCTTTATATTTTGCTGAGAATTCCTTCGCACAAAAGGCTGCCGCTTGTGACTAAATGCAGTCCTTTCCTGCTTGAGCTTGAGTGTGCAAGAACAAATACTAACGGCACTTGGAAGTGAAGAAAGCAAGGCACTTTTTATCCTTCCTAATAGATGCAGCAGGTGTATTTCGGGCTGGAATTGAAACGTGATTTGTTAAAGAGACAGACATGTGGATGGCAAAAGTAATAGCTGCAAAGATTGATAAGTCTCTTATCTTTAGCAATTAGGTAGATTTTTTTTTGTTTTGTCCTTGCTTTGATTTTTACATGTACAGCTTTTGTTGGTACCTGCATTAGCAATGCCAGCAAGATTTGCCTAAGTCCAGGCAAGAAAATGAGCTCAGTAGGGTTCAGTATTGTTTGTTTCAAATGAAAGCACCCCACCCCTAACTCACTCACTCTCTCTCTCTCTCTCTCTCTCTCTCTCTCTCTCTCTCTCTCTCTCTCTCTCTCTCTACTGTAGCTCAGATTATATCTTCCTGGGGAAATGCCTGTCAAAATAGACCCCCAGGCAAACAAAGAAAAGTATTTCTTCACTGCCCTGTGAGCCTATAGACATATATAGAGACTCACACACATTCTATCAAGACTTACACATTGACTTTATAAGGAATCTTAATGCATTGGCAAATAGAGTGTCTATGACCAAGAAAGTAATTCCCACCCAAAGAGTGACAGTTTTCTCATCATTTAACGAGTACATGACAGGCAGGTACAACACAGTCTTTTCTAGGCTGGTAATAGCTTTACTGATTGAATTTTGTCAGTGAAGATGGATGAGAATATTGCTTCAGAAGTCTTATAAAGTTTTTATAAGACTTTACCAACATTTGCAAATTTCTTCCTAAATGGGATAGAATTAACTTGAGATTTATTGAATTCAAATGTGGGGGAAAGTAAAATTGACAGATTCATCCATCTTTTACTCGTGGGTGCTCACCTAGGAAGGCAGTACAGCACCTGAGTTAATTTGCTAGGGTTGGGTGACAGGCTTATTTTCAGGGATATCCCACCTTCCCTGCCTTTTGACCTTCAGTAGGCGATGGGCATTCAGGGGACAGTAATCAACCGAATGGCCATTCCTCTCAACAATAAAATGAATCTCTCTACTACATCCATGAACATTGTACCAAGGATGCGTATTTTTGCTTTCTAAAAAGCCGACTCTCTTGTTTTGCGATTGGGGACAGCTTGCATTCATTCATCTACTTTATTCCTTTCCTTTCCTCCCGTGTCCCCACTTTTTTTTTTTAAGCAGGGCTTAATTCCCTTCCTTCCTTCCTGGCAGAATAGCATCACTACAAGGGACTTTCTTGAGGGCCAGCAAAAGATGGGCCACAATAAAGGCTGTTCCCCTTGTCTCTCACCAACCTAACTGCCTATGGAAAGTTATAAGGGAATTACGGTGTGGCTGAAGGCAGACCTTCCAATGGCTCACGAAAACATTGTGTTTGAGTGAATGTGAGAACAAAATGCATCGGTTGATGTTTCATCTGTGACCACTTGACTTTTCAGTAGTCCGGTGATGAGAATGCCTGTGTCATCAACTCTCAGTTGCCTTTGTGATGGCCCTGATTCCTTTGGAATTTGGGCAGTGGAATTTGTTGTATATCCTTCTTGTCATTATCATTATGCCCTTAACAAGGTAGAATAGTTTACTGTTCTTAAGGCAGTACATGGAGGCAGATGGAACATAGTTCCTGATTTGTTTCTTTTGTCTCCTCCTGCCACATTTCAGATCTGGAATGACTTAGCAAGTGCTCAATCACAGAAGTGTCAACTTACTGTTTATAAGCAGTGTAGAGAAACGAAACATAATTGGCAAAGGTAGCATAATTTGCATGAAGGTAGCATAATTTGAGGCTACCTTCATGCAAAGCATTTTCCCTGTATCAGTACAATGCAAAAGAAGCTGTAAAATTCTTTGTGTAGTTCACGCATGCATGAAGCATCCATATAACTTGTGTACTCAGTGCCTGGTGTAACTCACAATTGAATATGTAAAACGAAGTGTTTGAAATGACAGGAAAGTTTACTCTGTGGGATGTATGCTGTGGTATCCCATCACACATACAAACCACAGCTACTGTGGTTGCAAAGTGATGAAAATGTGAACCAGTGATAAGGCAATCCTGAAATAGATTGTGATCATGAGTTCATACCAAACATGTCTCAAAATGGTGACCGTTGCCTGTGATTTGGATGATATTAGAAAAGCCTGTGACTGGACTTTGCATTCTTCCACCCCCTCTTCACTTTAAGGAACTTATTTTAAGAAAAGCTTACTGTATCTAAATACTATTGCATGTAGTCAAGCTGGGTTCACACCACACGTGATGTTTATGACTTGGTGTCTACAGCTTTAAGTGGTGACTTGCAGTTCTGAATGGACCACCACAGATCAAATCATAGGAGTGGTTCCTTCATATCACATTAGATGTACTGCTTTCCAAAGGACACAAGTGAACCTCAGATCACCCCAGCCACATGCAGTGACTGCATAAGAAGGCAGAAGGGCTGTTTGGGTGAATCTTGGGTCTACCAAGATTGCTGGCTGCAAGGAAGAGTCGAGCGTGCCCCTTCAGACTAATGTTGTATGACTACCTGCCAAAGGTATGAAGATAGCAGGCATGTTTGTGTATGCACAGCAGTGTTGCCTCACAGGCCAATCACACATGCTACAAAAATGAGGGAGTTTCATTTGACCCTTACTGAAACTCAGAAACTGCATACCATAAATGTTGACTAATCAAACTAGATCAGGGCAGTCCAACCTTTTGTACCTCAAGGGCCATATGAGGACTTCAACAAAGAACCCAGACTTGCTCAATGAATTACATTTCCATGCCATAATGTGTTTGCAATATATTTATTTAATTTACACAAGTAATATATTTAACCATTAAGTGAGGGAGAAAACTGATGTGAGCTCTCAGAGTTGGCTTTTCTCTGTAGAGTTCACAGATAAGTCCTTCTCCAACCACAGCTCAAGCTTAAATGACCATTTCTCTGGGGTGGTCCATCACTTTCTCCCACTCAGAAACTCTTCAATGTGACCCCCTGGCCCCTTTTTCCTTCTTGGAATTGGCATGCTGACCCTCTTGTACTTCAGCCAATGAAATCTCCCCAGAATGCCCTGCCATACCCAGAATGCCCTCATTAGCTGGAACCAAATGGGGCCTACTGGTCTGAGCTCTTCCGAGGCTGCCAGCCAAACTGGCTCCCTTCCTGAACCTCAGGAAGAGCTCACTGCAATCATGCCCTTGCCATGACTGGGATCAGGACTGGGAGGGCAGGGATACAGGGGTTCTGAGTAGCAAGAGGGTCACAGAACAAGGGCTTTGAGGCTGCATGCAGCCTGTGGGATGTGTGTTGGACCACCTCAAGCTGGATGAAACCCTGCAATATAAATGTGTGTGGGAACAGGACCCTAGTGAATGGCACCTCTAAATGCTGTAACTTTATCTCCATATGATATCAGGAAGATGGGAGTCTCAGTCTAATGTTTCTGGAATCTCCCAAGTTGGAAAAGACTGCTCTATAGCTTCACGTTACCTCAGGCATTAAGCACTCTAGTAAGAATACCCTATAAATGAAGAACTAACACACTTCATTTCTGGTTATTTTATAATTGCAGCCAAAAACAGCTTGACTCTAGGAGCAAGAATTTGTCACATGTATACACATCTGTGCACCTGCATTTTGCCTACGAATGGGTGCCGATGGAAGCTCGGGGCTGCTGCATCTGAATTTTTCATGTTTCATTTGTGATCTGTAAAGCGGCCTTCTGTTGTGCATTCTGATTCTTCTGTATAATTGTCAGTTCATGGCTTCAGGAATGGAAAGGTTATTTCTAAAGGCCAAAATGGGTGTCAACCCTTATGTGATTGCTTCTTTTTTTATGGCATATGCCATGAAAAGTCCCCAAGGCCTTTTATTTTAAATTCCTTAATCATTTGCATTTTGAGCAAACAAGAAAATTACAAACTGTGCCAGGAAGTATCTAGTCACAGCACTGGCTTACCTGAATATAAAAAAATAGCACTGATATGGTTTTAATTTCTTTTACAATCTCATTCATACATTCATACTTATTTATGTAGAGATGAAATTCTCATGTGACACTTCCCAATCTACACTGAGCATTATCCTGCATAAATTAAGCACCTTGAAATCCCATTGATTTCAAGGGAAGAAATGTGGACATAGATTTAAAATTCTCACATTGTCATCGGTGAGACTGACAGTGTTCAGCTCTTTGAATCATGTCTTAAAGGGCCACATTTTTTATCCTTTTTAAAGGCATACATCTTAGCTGTTTCCTTCCAACAAAACTGCTTTCTCAAATGAAATATATAGGTTTAATTCAATAACACGAATCCAAATATCAGACCTGTAATCTGGCTCTTAAATCTGTATGACAGGATAAAACAAATTTGGAAGGCCGAGTTCTATTTCTGCTAAGCTTACTGAGAAACCCATGCAGGGTGGGAATGGAACAACAGCGGTATCAGCTTCCATCCCTCCCACAGCACACACCACGTGAAGTCCAGTAGACAAGTTGCTGAGCTCATCAAGTTCACCTGAGGTGGACAAAGAGCGATCCTGAAGAAGCCATTTCCTAACCACTGGAACACACCCATTTTCCCCCTCTACGGTTCTGTGGTTTGCAGCGTGACTGAAGTGGTAGGTATCTGAGACTGCTTTCTACTCTAGGTATTGGGCAGAGGGAGAAAGCTCCAATGTCCATTTCCATTTCCTGAGGTCATAAATGTGTCTATAGCCTTGGGAGAATCTAGAAAATTTCTGGGATACTCTGCTGGGATATATATACATCACTTTTCTGTAATTCATCATGAAGAAATGGCTGATGAAGATGATATCAGAGTAAGTGTTACGAACTACATGAGTGGAGCTGACTGGAGCTGGGGGTCGGACCAGATGGCCCAGGAGGCCCCTTCTGACTCACTTTGTGCCCATGTTTCTAAGTGCACAGTGTATGTATGTGTCCTGGTGACCAGCCATCAGTAGAGACTCCTCATTAAACCTCTCAAAGCTTCATGGAAATGTTCCTAATCAGACAAGCAAACAGAAAAAGCAGCTTGTAAGCATCGATGTATTATTCATACAAATGTGATTTTGTGTAAGGAAATCACAGCAGCTAGAACTAAGGCGTATGAATTATGGTGCCACTGTGACTGTACCTTTTTTCATGGAGAGATATTTCTTGATTTGACCCCCATAACTTTGCTCTGGGCAGCACATGTCTGCAGAAAATATCAGGAAATGATCTGTTATCATGAAGCTTTGCTCTACTTAGCAAACGAAGCAGCCTGCTCTCCTTCAAGCAGAGCTGTGTGTTATGCAGAAACATGGTCCATTTTGTGCAGAGTTGTGAGTGCAACTGAAAATGAATGGAAACTTTTGCATGTTCATTCCTGTCACAGCAGGAACAGAGAATTTTGTTTCTAAAAGGACTCAGAAGCTGCCCTTCTGTGGCAGCCAATTTTGTTGAATCATTTCTTGCAGCACAGATTGCAGAAGCCCAGCTTCTTTAGTTCTGCCAAGCCTTTATGTCATTCTTGGTATTTGATTAATAAGATGATAAAACATTACTTTTGGAGCACACTCTACTATACCATTACATTTTTAGTCACCAAAGAGAACCAAACTAAAAACAGGTTCTCTTTGATGTTTGATTCAATGAAGATGTGTATGATCCGACCCATTCAGTGATCATTACCCTCATGTATGAAAAAGCCTCAAGCATACAGGGCAGTGGATTCATGCGTGCTAAGCATCTTTGCACACCATTTCATAGGGACAAAGGGTTTGATCCAGAGACTTATCCTTCATACACATAATGGTGACATAGACAAATTAAATAACCCAAAGATACGTAAGCATATCCTTTGGACTATAAGTGTCTTGGCTGAATCAGATATTCTCCAGTTTAAGAGATAAGGTTGACTTTGTTGTGAGAGAATTACTTTCTAAAGCAAAACAAAGATGTTTAGCATCTTTAAATATTTGTCTTTTTACATTCATATTTTATCCATTAGGCTGTAGCTATTTTTGCCACGCTCCCCCCTTCCTGCATGTTGCTTCCTTTGGCTAGATGATCCCAGCCAACTAATGATCACAGAATGAACGGGAAGGTGCTAAATGGCCTATCAGATCTGTCTATTTAATATCAAAGATGTTTGAGAGTTGAGAGTTTTGCTTCTTTGAATAGTCATATCGGTCATCCTACCTAAATGCTAATTATGAAATATTGGGGCTTATGCATGAATGCATAATAACATCACTCAGTGGAAATCAACTGAGAGTGAGACTGTGAAAGGGTAATGTGAATATTTTGTATGGAACACCCAAGGCCAGCAAAGGTTTCAGTGTTGCCCACCATAAACATCATGGTACTAAAGTGAACTACCCTTGTATAACTACTCCAGTTAAATTTCTGAGGGTAGGATGGATTTTTATAGATTTGGCTTCAAAACGGGGAGGTTTCAGTGGGAATACCTAAGCACTATATTCCATGAAATCCCTTTCTGTGAATTTTACGTAAAACACTTCATTGCAGCTTGGTGCAAAAGCCAAATGAAAAACTCTGATTATAATGGAGATCCCTCTCCTCTCCTCTCCTCTCCTCTCCATCAAAGGATCAGCCTCCTGTATTTCATGCAGTGACCTACATTTTTATTTGTGCATGTCTCAAAGCTGACCTTTATTGTTCTGGGCTAGTGTTTGTTTTAATGGGGATCCGTCTACAAGTACAAGGGATAAAAGAAAAGGAACTGGCCAGAAACTCATACAGGATTAAAGCAGCCCAGCACATAATTTGGTTGTGGCCAAGAAACTTCAAAACAAAAAGTCTCTCTTCTTTCTTTAGCTGCTTGAATAACTAGGTCATCTTTCATCAAAGAAGGTGGGAAACAGCATTACACACAAGGTCCGATTTTTTGTCACCTTTAGTAAAACAAAATGTAGGCTCAGCTAGTCCCAGGAATGATTAGTCCCAGCAGTATGATTATTAAGCAAAGCAATAGGCAGAGTCAACCTTTCTACTTTGATATAAATTGGAATATATGACAATCCTGTATAGTAAAGTGTTGTGATGCATAAACAATATTTGCATGGATAAATTTGCACAGGTGTATAATATGTACATTTCTAGTGTTTTCTTAGGTGAGACTTGAATAAATCTCACCATGTGTATTGTGCTCCACCAATAAGAATACATTTAACCATGCTGGCATTTTGCCTTGTCAAACATGGAAGGTTGACAAGAATTTGATGTCCGAATACCTCTTCTGAAAATACCCTTCATGCTCACTCATTCCTCTCACATTCGACGTTTATGCATTTACTTCATCTTTAGTTTGTTTTCTCAGTCATTAATGGGATTATCAGAGAACCCAACTTGTAAACAGTCAGTGTTGGCTGAGTTATTCCTTAAGTCTGGAGGTTTTTTTTTTTCCTTCTTCAGCTGCCCTTTCTGCTCCCCTTCTTACTGCTTCCTACTATGTAACTGAGAAATAGTGCAATCTTAGGCATGACTGCTCTAGGTAAGGGGCAGTATTCTGTACTGCTACTGCTACTTCTCTGGTGCTCTTACGCACATGGAATCAAGAACTCATACAGCAGGAATGAGCAGTTCCAAAAATAACCCTGAAAACAAGTGGCAACTCTCATTTCCAGAATGGGAATTATCACTGTCTTGTTTATGTATGTTCTGAAGTTGATTCCTCATTGTGCCAGAAATTAAACAGCCTAAGATACTGCAAGTATAGGACGGCAGCCAAAGTGACTTACACCCTCTATTTTGATAAAAATGGTGTATATATTGTAGGGACTTATGGGTAAAGTGACTTTTATGAGCTCTGCTCTTCAAGATGCATTTCAGCTCCTCATGGGAGTTCATGCTAGTGAAGGTCAGATATTGTATAACCCCGGCAGCGAAGCTATTCCATTCCCATCATACAACCATTTTTGAATGGTTAATATATACTTTGGCCATAAAAGTGAATGGCACTATTTATTGCTCTTGGCAGGATGTCAAGGGGTGCATTTGAGTGGACGCTAAACATTTCTTGTTATCTTAGTCCTCACATTGGCACTTTCTACCCTCCCCATGAACTCTTTCCCAGATTACATTCTGTCTACGCAAGAAATTCATTGAAAGCCTTTTAGAACTGAGTGCAGTCTTTCAACCTTGCTAACGCTTTCCTGGATTCCATTTCCTTGGACTTCTAACGTTTGGTAGAACACTGGAAAGTGACTTTTAAAAATATCAATACATAAACAAAATTAGCTGGGAAACCAGAGATAGATGCCAAACAAGAAGGCTCCCCCCCACCCTCATCCACCTGTGTCAGGAAAGCATTTGTCTGAAATGTCTGTGAATAAGTTACCAGAAAACAAAGCGAGTAAGCAAACAAAAACACACTTTATCCCATCACTCTTGTTCTTTTTCTTTCTGATATTCAGAGGTGAGTGTGAATCCTTCTGTAGACAAAATAGAACCAAGCAGCTCCTGCAGGGCTGGTGCAGCCTTGCGATTTGTCAAAGTAAAAGAACTTTTGAGGGTAGTGGGGCACTAAGAGGGAATTCTACAAGCAACGCAATAAGAAGGAGTATACATGGTTAGTATCCATGGAATGTGGGCTGAAGGGGTTATAATAGCACATCCTGGAAGAAGGAATGGGTGATGGACAGGAACACTGAATGGCACTTGCTGCATGATACATTATTTCCCCCTTCTCTTTCCTAAGGGTTCTTAGCATGTATTGGATTACACCTTCCAGGATTCCTGACTATTGGCCATGATGACTCGGGCCATTAGTAATTGAAATCCAAAACATCTAAAGTGCACCAGATTGTAGAAGGCTGTTGTACAGAGAGGTATTCCACATTGTGCTGAGTCCAGACCTAGTCCTAATTCTTAGAATAAACCTGTTGAAATCATGGGATATAACTCACTTGTTATGGAGAAGGAGGTTCGGTGGTAGCCTTGCTGGCAATTTTTTACTTCTGTTACTAAAGGTGGCATGCCGTCATGCACCAGTTAATGAAGAGCTTGAGCACATGGCTCTCTTGTGCCTAATGTGCTAATGCTGTTTCAGTCAGTCCACTGGATCTAACCTACTGAGTGGTATATTATCTTGGAAATAATCCAGCACTCTTTAGTTAGTTTGATTGGACAGTCAGGTTCAAATATAGGTAAAATAAGCAAAATCAGAGCTCTTTGGGAAGGGGTGGGGGTCAGATGGGTCCACAGAACTTAATTAATAGCATATACTTAAACATATCTTTTACTGTTTTATTTTTAATAGAAGTTTCAACATACACCATCCAAAGTCTTTGCATATACTTGATAGAAATAGTTAAAATGTTGTTGATTATTAATGCTGATGGATCATGTTTTGGTCAGTGGACAACATCTATATCTATGGGTAAATTTCAAGGACATATAAGGCACTAGCCAATGCATTTATAGACAGAAGACTCTCCTATATTCCCTGCATTCCACAGCTAACCATGCTAGTTTGTGAATATTAGAGTGTGTAGTTGTTTTTTCCTGTCTAAACAGGCATAGGATTGTACCTTGGCTAATGACCAACATCTTTTGGTAAATGACTATGATATCTGGATAAATGGCCCAAACTTACTGTAATAAATAAATCAGTACTGGTGTATTTATTTATAAAACCCCTTAAACTACTAAAGCTATAATTCTACACTGGCTTACTTGGAAGTAAATCCTATTGATCGCAGTGGGATTTCTTTCAGGTAAACCTATATATCCTTGGAGAAGTAGTCTTTTAGAAAACTATAACTTTGAGGATTCAGTAATCACCCAAGTGTTTACATCTGCTCAGGATAATAGATTTTTGATGTCCCGCCTCTTTCATCAGTTTGCTTCCATTTCCTTAAGCCCCAGTGTCATGTCACAAGCTGTGCTAGAAACTGCCAGCAGCAACAAAAGCTATTTGTAGTGCATCTTGAGCTGTCGCTAGTTGGGAAAAGGGGAGTCCACATACTGTACTCTTACTTTCAAACAACTAACCAAACATCTCTTTGGATCATGGCCATAGTTCCTTGTAACTGAATTAATCTGACATTTATTGACCAGTGTTAGGAATTGCCTGTTCAGGCTTGTGGCTTTTCAAATTAGCACAGGATATAAAAAGAAGCCTAGTTGCTTATATTCCAATGACATATTTCAAGGACATTAATCAGAATGTTTTTCCTGCTGCAGGACATAATGGGGATGCAAGGACTTAGTCCTGAAAGAACAGAAAAGACAATATCTTTGAGCATGTAAAGATGTATCCAGCTTGCCACTGATTATCTTCAGCCAGCTTCAATCTATCTGAGCACGCACAGTGTACATCTTCCTTTCCAATAAGTAGCTGCAAAAAGCATCAGCATCTTTGAGATTGGGAGATGGACAAACCTCTGCCAAACTTTCTGTGCAAGGTCACTCCCAGTTTTTTGTTTGTTTGTTTGTTTTGTGGGGGGGATTAAATACAGTTGACATTCTCCCCCATTGCCTTCATCCTCAAAGTACAATTTAGTATACCTGGATAAAATATTCCTCATGTATTCTAACACATGGATGTACTACATAATGTAAAGAGAAGAAACTGTATGCTTTGATACATTTCTGCCATCTAGTAATACATCCTTGCCATTTTAAATTGTCTTGATAGCCAGTTGGAGTGTTCCTTTCCATTGATTCAGACAATCAAATCTTCTTTTTTAAGATACTAAGAACTCATTCCTCCTTCCACTTACTTTTCCTGGCTAAATGCTCAGTCTACTGACTGTTGCAGTCTAAAAGGTCTTTCTATTTCAAGGGTCAGCAAAGTGAAGTGATCTTTTGCACATGCCTAGTTTGCGATCCTTGTAAAATGTCAAAAGACTTGAGAAAGAAGATCATTAAATAATAATTTATTGCAATCAAAGATCTAGCTCAACAAAAAAGGGAGAAAGTGGACTAGAAAAAAATGAATCTGAGCAGAACGTTAAATTTATGGTTGAAAGATTAAGGAGCTGGAAAATGTGCACAGAATGGTTACTGCTTAGGGACAAAATTGCGTACTGAAATTGTACAGTTGGCTGGGGTGGTGGTGGGGACTTTATTTCCTCGTAATGTTTGGTTTTGGAGAGGGAAGTGCCTAGCTAATACTTCCCTAGCCTTGTACCCTCCATATAGGTTGGATCGCAACTCCCAACATGGAGTCCCACAAATCAGGAAGTCATCTGGTTGGAGAAAGCTAGTTTTGATGATGAAAGAGTACTACCCTATGCTTGGTTAGGGCCAAGCTACATATTACTCCCATGTGTTATATTACCCCAGTGGCTCCCTTCCTGTAGTAAACTATCTATTGGGAGGGAGATGTTTTTGAGTGGAGAAGAGGTTCAGAATGGGAGTGCTTAACTCTCCATGTATTAGCCTGCCTGTGCCTTAACACCTTCAGTGAAGGTTCTTTTCCGAATACCCATGCTGTTTTATGTAACAGCAAGCAAGAGAAGCTTCTCTCTTGTGGCATCCAAATTGTTGTACACTTTGTGGAGATGTGACAGCAGCAGTATTTTTTTCAGTGCCAGATTCACTACCAATCTATTTGCCCAGACATTTTAAACTGGTTTATGAAGCCGAGTGCCTACTTTATGGCTTCTTCTGGATTTCTTGTTGTGGTTTTACTGAGATTTTAAAAAGTGTTAAATTACTTTATGTAAGCAGTTCAGGTACCATCAGATGAAGTGTGCTATATACATACTTTAAATAAAATAACACTACCCTTGATTGCCACTTTCCTAAGCCAGAAAACTGCTGGGAAGAAAGGAACAACGGTGGAGTCAGGATGCAAAGAGCTGGGAGAGCATCTTTTCTCCCTTTTCTGATGCAAAGTATATCTTTCTACAAACGATTGAAAAGAAGGCTCAGGCTAAGGTTACATGGGAATTATATTGATTGAATTGGAATTTGCTTTTGTGCATCAGATTGGACAGTTATATGAATAATTTATTTTAAACATGCTACTTCACATCTGAACAAATTTTGGATAAGTGAATAGTAAAAGATAAACATTTTTTTAAAAATTAATGAAAGCAAAATGAAAGAAAAATGGTATCAATAAAACATTTTGATGGAAGGACTGCTATGGTGGGTGCTTCCACTTGTTTCCAACACCCAGATGCATATTGCAACATTGTGGGATCCTGCCATGGAGAGGGGCCTATCACTATCTACAGTTATACCTATAGTCACTATGAGCATCAGTGAGGGTGGTTTGGATGTTATATTAACAATATTCTGTAACATAGAATTGTGGAAGTACTGAGAGATGATATTTTAAAGATCAGAGTAAATATTTCACAAAGAAACCAAAACCCTGCCCTACAATGGACATCAATCTATTTGTAAATCAACCTTGAATTTACTATCATCCACCATTTAAATTGTGCTTCTTCAATTCAGCAATCCTTTGCCTCTCATCCTACCAAATGTACTTCCATGCCTCTCTCCATTTATATGATCGGAGGTGCATCTTTGCATGGAGTGAGAAATTTGGCTCTACTCTCACTGTAAAGGATAAATTTTGGGATGAAATCTTTGACTAACACCAAACTTACTGGTGTTAGTAAAATTTTTGGTGCGACCTTCCAGTATAGTCCAACGAATAAGGCTATGTGTAGTGATGCCTGAGAAATCCAAAATAGACTGAAATTATTTTGGAATCCTGTGAAGTTGACTCATGGGCTGAGTTCATACAACCTGACAAGCAATGCTGCATGGTTACGATGGTTTGTGCTTTTTCCCCATGATCAACCTGATGGGCGATCAAGTGGTTTCAAATGTTATTGTGGTTTCCAGTTTTCTTGCTAAATTTCCCCACTATTGTCAGGTAACCCATCAGCCACCGAGCCTGAAATTCAACCACAAGGTGCATCGCTCTGTGTCTATGTGGCTGGCTTCTTCCACTTTGTTCTGTACATAAAGGCTGGATGGCCAGAGTAGAATTGCAATTGTTGTTCTTTCCAAGGGACTCTGTGGTTCTGCATACCAGGACCATGGAAACCATTATCCTGAGTTCAGACAACATGACAGGTCATGGTGGTATAGAAGAAATAAAACAAATCACTGTTTCTTATCATGTTTTGTAAAGACCAAACTTACCATGGTGAAATGCAATGGCTCTGACAATGCAACAAACCAACAAGGTTAAAAAAGAAAAGAATAGAAAAACCCACCAAGACTTGACATCCTTTTGGATGCTGCAGCAGAGTGGAAACTCTCAAGTTCCGTGGATTCTACAAACTTGCAAAAAGTTTTTGTTGTTGTTGTTTTAACTTTATGGAAATGTACACAGATTTAGTCATACAAAGTTGGCAGAAAATATCCTAATCTATATGCCATTTAACAACAGAACAAAAAGAACAGTTTATATATCTCTGATTTCTCTTCAGTCTGCACTGTGCAGCACTAGGAAAAACCTGAAAAAAGAAAAATATATCCCAGCAAAAGTGATGTTTTTGTGAATCTTAACAAAGAAGGAGAAATCAAATCCCATCAATGTGAGATGAGGGAGCAAAGGATACCTGACAATCTGAAAACTAAACATGGAATGGATTAAACAAAATGCTTTCATCCCTAGCTTCGTGAAAAACCTTTATTATAAATGTGTCACATATCAGCATAATATTATGCATTTCACTATCTCCTTATGCCGGGAAATATGAAGGGGATGAAGCCACTATGTTACTATCTGCAAGAGATACAAAATGGAAGCAGTGGACATTCTCTTGTTCTTCCACTATGGAATGAGAGAACAATTTAGAGGGATTTAGAGAACCTTGCCACATATTGAATTATGCTGTAAAGGAGATATGGGACTACATAATCTAGCCCCACCTTTAACTGCTGGCACATGGCAAGCTCTCTGTAGTCTATCTAATTACCGTGTCAGACACATGTATTTTGCTATGCACATAGAGTGCCTTTTGATGTGTTCTGAATACATGGACTATGGGGCTAGTGGATGCATTATTGACAAAAGAAGGGTTTGGACTGCATGTCCCCATAGATCCCTTTACACAGGAACTCTCCTAATGAAACTGAATGCTTAGTTTGATCCATCACATGTACTCGATGCTAAGACCAAATGTACAAATTGACTGGTCCAACCATGTAGACTCAGAATTTAGAAATGCTTATGCTGTTATATTTAACAGACACTCTTTTGCTTATGTATAAGCAATCTGTGTTGCAGGGATGTGTGGTTCCCTAAGGGAGAATGCTAGGCTTATCTAAGCTTTCTTCAACTTCCCTCAGATGCTTTATTCAAACAAGAAATTCCAAATTCATCTCCAATTTCAACTCAAAAGAAAATTCACTGGCACATCTACTAAAAAAAAGTATAAATCCTTATAAGATGACATCACATGTTCTTCAGAGGTTAAGAGATGCAGCATTTTAAATGTTGGGTTCCTTTGCAACTTCAGTGGATTCTTGTAAGTCTATAAATTAGAATTAGTACAAAAGACTTCTAGAAGAATTAGTACAAAAGTCTTCTAGAATAATTAGTGCAAACACTGAGGTTACCTCTTTGGTGTTCATGATTTCAGCTAAAATGCACAGCATTTCTCAGGCTTGGATTAATTTCCTTTGACAAATACATTTGAATTTGATCCATGTGCACATATATCTTTCTCCTGTTTCTGTTCTATTTCTGTCTCCATTGTTTTCCCTATGCAATATTCTTATCAGTGTTTGTTTCACAGAATGAGATTCAGTAGGTGATATATTTCATTATACCAGTGCTATTAGTTATGGTCACATTTTTATTTTTACCCAAACAAGTTTTTCTGCAACTATGAAAAATCATGAGTTAGCCCAATAAGCTTCATTTTAGCCTCTCCTATTTGTCAAATTGATCTTTGTTCCTTATACCAACAATGAGCATTTACATCATGTGCCAAGTAAGTGTCAAGTGCATTTGAACAAACTGAACAAACTTAAGTAGTTCATTCTTTTAATTAACAACAAACAAACAGACCATAAAGAAAATGTCATTTTCTTGTGAAATTTCATTGTCTTTCGATATTGTAGGATCTGCAACTGGCAGCCTGTGACCAGAATTCAGCCTTTGAAAGGTTGCAAATTGAGCCAGGAAACACTGTTGGTTTTCTGTGGGATAGCTTCTATGATTTATTGCAAATAGTTTAAATTACTCATAACATTCCAGCCAAGTGTCTTGACTTTGCTCCAGTTTTCTTTCTGTCAGTAGAGTGGTTAGCCCCCTTTCCTCTATGAAAACGTGAGTAAGAGGGACAATGGAGTCACATGGAGTGACTTGTCCCATCATCCATAGAAGAAACTGTGGGAAAGGACTCTTCTCATGCATCATTGTATGAACAGAAATCTCCTCCGTTTGACCTTCTCTCATGTTGAGGAGCTCTGCATGACCACTACAGGAGAATACTTTAGAACAGTGTCCGAGGAAGTGTTTTCTCTGTAAGTGGTGGTGTTATAATTCTTGTGCTTTGGCTCCTTTATAAATCCATCACCGAGCACAGGGATATCTCTTGCCAAGGGCCAAACTAGATATAACCATGGAAAATCTGTTTTTTTTGTTTTTGTTTTGTTTTGTTTTTTGCCATTTTGTAACAGTTAACTGTAGCTTAGGGTAGGGCAAGACAATCAGGACAAGAGTGATAGGGAAAAAATTTGAGAAACTGTCAAATGGAGAAACCATTTTGATATCCATGGGTAGAACAATAACTACAGGGGTGTAAAGGACCACTGGAAACTTCAAAGGAAGGAGAAGTTTAGCATTCCTTCCTGAATGTGTGGTTCCAAATCAACCTCAGAGTCCTATGGCTGCCATTTTACTGCTTTAAAATCAGGTGCTCCAGTCATTATGGAGAATGGGGACAAGAGAATGAAAATCAAGAGATGTGAGGCTGGGCCTTTTCTTCAGTTTTTAGGAAGTTGATATACAAAATACTAAATCATGCTTTACACAGCCACTTTCTGCACTTCCATTAATTCTGTTAATGCCCATCTGAGGGGGAAGAACAAGGACATGCTTTCTGACATGACCCTACCATGTTCCTCACTTTTCATGATCAACATTTGCAGTGGAATATCTTCCCACACAATGTATGACTTGGATTGCTGAAGGAGTCTTCACAAGACAAGCCAGATTCCCACTGCAGATGTTTAGCTCCACCAGATTAGGCCATCAGGGAAAACAAGGCCAACAAGCGTATGCTTGCTGTCCCTCCTCATGCAATGGACAGTGTGTTTAGGGCACAATATTTGAAGTCATTGTTAAATTAGTTGGAATATACAATCACATTATCTTCTGCTGTGCCTCAACAGCCTTCATACACGAGAGAGGCTCAGATACATATTTAAGTGTCATCAGTTCTGATGGCCCTCACATTTCTCTTTTAAATGAAAGCAAGCTTTTTGTTCATCTCTTACTGCTAGGGGAAAAGAAATTGAGGCATCCTTTAATGAGTTACATAACAGAACCAATTGAGACAGCAGGAATACCACATTTCTATCTGAGTGAAAAGAATTCAGAACTGGAGACAATCCAAAAGGGACAGGTGGGAAGTTCTCGCTCTCTTTTGCATACACACTGCATATCCTGGCATCACCTGAACAGTTGCTGGTGCTGCAAAGTAGGGAATCCTCCAGAATCTGATGCAGCAACATGAGAAAAAACCTGGTTTAAAAAGGTATATCATTGTGTTTCACTTCACTATCTTTAATATGCAAAACAATACTGGAAGCAGTAAAAATTATACAGTTATTATTTAGTTATTTAGTTTCTGTATTGCCCAAAAGCTGGAGTTCTTTGGGTGGTTTACAATAGTACATGAAAAATACTGTATAAAATGCACCATATTAAAACATCATAAGAAGCTTATGATACAAAATTTAAAACCAAGTTTTAAACAGATTAAAAACACAGTAACTTGAAGAAAAATCTTCTTACCTGTTTAGCAACTAGCAAGTCCCAGTATACCAGTTGAATGCCCTGCAGCAGATGACAATCTTTACCCGGTGCTGAAAAAATAGCAAAGTTGGCACCAGGCAGGCCTCAGTGGGGAGCACATTCCATAACAGGTGGAGGCCAGGTGCTCCACTGAAAAGGCCCTTCTCCTTGTTACCATCATCATCATCATCATCATCATCATCATCATCATCATCATCATTATTACATTTCTATGCCGCCCCTTGCTGAAGCCTCGGGGTGGCTTACAACACAATAAGATACATTCAAATACAATAGAACATATATGAACCCCCAGATGTGACAGTCAGAGGTAGGCCCCAGAATTTGATTGTCAGGTCCAGTAGATGAAGTGTTTCATCAAGGATCAGTAACAGTAAAACAGGACAGGCCACCCAACTACCGTGACTGCTATATTTTCTGAAGGGGAAAAAATTGTAGAAAGTCACAGGTGGTTCCAAATCACTCTTTTTATAAGAGGAAGCCCTTTAGCACTATCTAAAAATGGGCATAGTAAAAGCCAATAGCAATGGCTTTGATGCTGCACTGGAACATAGATATTTGACTACAAGTTTAATGAACTTCGCATGATTGTGGCATGTGAAATTATCCTGAAAGTCTGCATTTATTTATTTATTGCATTTATATGCTGCTGCAAGGGCCTTCTGGGTTGCTTACATTAAAACTGTAATAGAACAACAACAAAACAGGAAAAACAGTAGAACAACTAAGCAATAAAAACATAACATCCATTACAAGGATGCAACATCTAACCATCAGCTAAGTGTCACAGTAAGGAGACACAGCAATAAAAGTAAGAGAATATTTAAAAAACCAGTATCTACTGGAGCACATGTTAAGTAAAAACGCCTTTACCTCGCTCCAAAAGGAGAGCAGCAACAGCACCAGGTGCACCTCCTTGGGGTGGGTGTTCCATAAGTGGAGCGTGATCACAGAAGTGGCCCTTCTCTGACTCATTTAGGGATGGCTTTTGGAGAAGGACCTCCATTGGAGATCTTAATGATCGGGAAAGGATATATGGAGACCAGTGTTCCTTCAGATATCCTGGCCGTAAGCCGTTTAGGTCTTTGTATGTTGGCCTCAGCACTTAGAATTGGACCCAGATTAAAACAGGCAGCCAGTAGAGCTGATGAAAGACAGGCTTGATGTGTTTTCTAGAATGTCCTCTTCAAAAGCTGTGCCACCTTGTGCAGAATTAGTTGGCATGTCTGGACTGTTTTCAAAGGCAGCCACACACAGAGCACATTACAGTAACCCAGGTGAGAGGTTACCACTGCTTGGATGACTATGGCAAGGCTCTATTCATCTAAGTAGTAATGTTACCTGAAAAGTCAGCCTAAACTGAAATGTGCTCTTGGCTACTGAGCCCACCTGAGAAACAAGTAATGACTCAGGGTCCAGGAGCACCCCCAAGCTATGAATATTGTCCTTTTAGGAGGAGCATGACCCCATCCAGGACAGGTTGCAAATTTCCCAGTTGGACGAATGGAATACCCACCAACAGCATCTCCATCGTATCTGGAATGAGCTTCAACTTATTGGTCATCATCCAGTGCATTACGAAACTCAGACACTGATTAAGAACAGTCACTGCTTCATCTGGGTTAGATGAAAATGAGAGGTAGAGCTGAGTGTCATCTGCATATTGATGACACTTCAGCTCTAACCTCTGGATGACCTCTCTCAGCAGTGTCATGTAGGCGTTAAAAAGCATGGGAGAGAGAATAGAGCCCTGTGGGACTCCATGGCACAAGTGCCATAGCACAGAGCAAGTATCCCTCAGCACCTCCATCAGGAGATGGGCTGCCAGATAGGAGCGGAGCCACTATAAAAAGCTGCCACCAGCTCCCACTTCAGTGAACTTCTCCAGAAGGGTACCATGGTCCATGGTATCAAAAGCCTCTGAGAGGTCCTGGAAAATCAGTCATAGTCCCATTGTCTCTTTCCTGGTGCAGGGCATCCCACAGAGTGACCAAGGTAGCTTCTATTCCAAACCCAGCTGAAATGGATCCAGACATTCTGTTTCATCAAAGAGTTCCTGGAGCTGCCTGGTCACACTCTGCTTGATCATCTTGCCCAGGAAGCGAATGTTGGCTATTGGTCTATAATTATTAACGTCACCCAGATCCAAGTTAGGCTCTTTCAGGAATGATTCAATCACAGCTGCCTTTAGGGGAGCTGGCATCACTCCTTCTCTCAAAGAGGTGTTCATAACCTCCTGAACCAAGGTGCACATATCTTCCTTAGATTTCTTGATTAGCCAAGACAGGCAAGGATCCAGCAAACAGGTTGTAGATAGAACCTGGTCAAGCATCTTGTCCATATCTTCAGGCTGTGATAGCTGAAACTCATCAACAAAATCGAACAAGACAGTGCTCTGGACACCTTGCTGATGGCACTGGGATAACCGTGCTGTCAAACTTGTAATGAATCTGAGTGACTTTATCTTCAAGTGTAGTGCAAATTCATCACAGCATGTTTTTGAGGGTTTGATAGAATATCTTTTTGGACAAGATTGTATAAGGTCCCAAGCCACTCAGAGGAGCTCAAGGACATGTGAGGACATGATGCTGGGGGCAATATAACATCTCTTTGCTGCTTGCACTGCTGAGGAGTCACTCAATAATGAGCACTAATGAGCAGGTGTGAGTCATTCTTAGTTCTCCTCCACCTGAGCTCTAGCCATCTTCCCTCTTGCTTCATCACCGTCAGATCTGGCATATTCCAGCAAGCCAGATGGGCTTTGTGGAGGGCTGGGAGATGAATGCCGGTATCAACTGCCTGGGCCATCTTCATATTCCACAGAGTGACCTGGGCTTCGAAGGAGTGCCTAGAATGCATATCACCAGGGACGAAGAACTAAACATTAACATCTTTTTGTAATCTTAGGTATAATTTGGGACTTGATCAAACTACTTTCCTTTAGCTGGATGATGCATAGCCAGGAAGATGGCATTGCCTTACTCCACTTTCCCACTGATGAATAGAGTCTAAATGCCTTGAGAGGAAGTTAAGCATGTGGTTAACCTCAGCAGGATCATCTTTTCATGTTAATAGTCAAACAAATACTAGCTTAGGAATTATAATAAAACTTATTAGATATATGTAAACTTCTGACCAAAATACAAAGGGCTCCAGTTTCATAAGGGAAAGGCCTATTTAAAAATGGCATCAAAGTGATACCTAGCAAAATATAATTCAACCAACCACACTGCCACAAATGGTTATTTCACAAAATTATCAAAGTGAAATCTTGAATTAACTGATTTAACTGTATACAATTTATGACTATTCTATAGAGAGTGATGCATTAATTTTAAAATTAGACTTTTTTTCTCCCTGCTGATTTCATGTTGGTGAAGTTAAAATGAGACACTCACAAGTAAGAAAACAAAAAATATCAAAATCAAATAAAAAGAAATAGAAAATGGATAGTCATTTAAAAAAAAAAAAGTAACAGAAAACTTTAACCAAACACAAAGTATTTACAGAAATATCAATGTATTTCCAGAATAAAATGTTAGATTCTTTCTTTAGGTAATGACTCTGATTACTACTAGGTCAGTTTATAATTTAAATCTGGTATTAAAGCTTTAAACAGACTGATAAGTAATAGAAAGATGATTTTTTTCAAGTGTATGTTTTCTTTTCTCAGTTCAGCTCAAATATTATGTAGCTTGGATGGAGAACAATTTAAGATGCAAGGCACTGTGCGAAAGTTCCCCATGTACCCCTTTCTTCCTTTCAGCAGTTTGTTGGCATACATGGTAAATTTTTGAAAGTTGAAATAGCCATGATTGCCTGTTTGGCAGAGGATGGATTTATGCTAAGTCATAACCTTCTCCGATAGATAGATAGATAGATAGATAGATAGATAGATAGATAGATAGATAGATAACCAGTTTTCCAACAGTTATAAAAAGAGACACATTGAAAGCCAGTATGGCATAATGGTTAATCTTTGTTTCACCATCCCTGTTCCTCCCCACATCTAATCTAATCTCTAATCTAATCTAATCTAAAATATTTTTTAAAAACTTCTAATTTATCATTTTAAAATGCAGAACATGTCGCCTCCTTTTCTTGGGCATTTTCCAAACTTCATCTTGCTGCTTCCTTTGGTATCCATTGAATGGTGCTAGCGTATCACCCTCCCTCAGTTTTTGTCAAAGAAACTATTAGGGACATTGTTTTATTTATTAATTTATTAAATTGTTGAAGTTATCCCCTTTCAAATTATTTGGAATGAACTGTTTATCCCATGTGATTCTTGGGAGTTTGTAACCACCCAATTCTGAACTCATCAGTGCTTTCTTCTTTCAGTGTTGAACTTCAAGTATATAAGGCTCTAGGAGACTCAAGTAAAAAACAAAACAGCACAACGCAACACAACTGTAGTTATCTTTAGGCTAGTAACTGCTCTAGTCCCATTCTGTTTTGACCACATTATGAAAATTGCTTTCTCTGGCTCTGTGAAATGAAAGAAAAGAGATTGAATCCAGAGGTTTGATTCATTCCTCACTAAACTGCATTCAGCTGATGGGCAAGGTGGATCTTTGTTCAACCAACAACATGAAAATATCCATAAAATATTCAGTAGTAGGTCTCTTTAAGTTCAGTGGGATTTACTCCCATGTAATAGAGCACAGGAATAATTAGCACACTGTGGATTGGATCTGGGCTCATGGTTAGAGAAGAGTCATCGATATTAATTTGATTTGATTAACTTAGTCTCACTGAGATCAGTGGTTCTATTCTAAGCATAACTTGTCCTACTGAATTAGGTCTGTTTTAAGTATAACTGTCTGAATCTAATCCTATATTGTATTAACAAAGTCTGCAGTCTTCAGTATAATGTAGTTTGCTTTCATCAACAAAATATCATCATCATCATCATCATCATCATCATCATCAATGTTGTACTGAGATTTTGATGCAGAAATCTTGGATCCTGATTGGTTGACCTGGTTTGATACCTCAGAATGCTCAATCACTAAAGATACTTAAGCTCACGCTGCTTCAGTGACTCCATCTAGCCACCTCATTCTCTGCCGTCCCCTTCTTCTTTTCCCATCAATTGTTGCCAGCATTAGGCTCTTCTCCAGGGAGTCCTTCCTTCTCATTAGGTGGCCAAAGTATTTGAGTTTCATCTTCAGTATCTGGCCTTCTAAAGAGCAGTCAGGGTTGATCTCTAGGACTGACCAATTTGATCACCTTGCGGTCCAGGAGTCTCCTCCGGCACCACAATTCAAAGGCCTCAATCCTTCGGCTCTCAGCCTTCCTTATGGTCCAGCTGTCACAGCCATACATTGCAACCGGGAAAACCATAGCCTTGACTATACGCACTTTTGTTGGCAGGGTGATGTCTCTACTTTTAAGTCTGCTGTCTAGATTTGCCATAACTTTCCTCCCAAGGAGCAAGCGTCTTTTAATTTCTTGACTGCAGTCCCCATCTGTGGTGATCTTGGAGCCCAGGAAAATAAAATCTGTCACTACCTCCGTTTCTTCCCCATCTATTTGCCAGGAAGTGAGAGGACCAGATGTCATGATCTTAGTTTTCTTAATGTTGAGTTTCAAGCCAACTTTTGTGCTCTTCTCCTTCACCCGCATCAAGAGGCTCTTTAGTTCCTCTTCACTTTCTGCCATGAGAGTGGTATCATCTGCATATCTGAGGTTGTTGTTATTTCTCCCAGCAATCTTAATTCCAACTGGTGATTCATCTAGCTCCGCCTTTCTCATGATGTGCTCTGCATATAAGTTAAATAGGCAGGGAGACAGTATACAGCCTTGCCGAACTCCTTTCTCAATTTTGAACCAATCAGTGGTTCCATGTCCAGTTCTCACTGTTGTTTCTTGACCCGAATATAGGTTTCTCAAGAGAATTGCTGGATACAGACAACCTACTTTTGACCTGAAAATCAGGAGTAACTTTCTCAGCGTTCATAAATAATCCAGTTTAGTAATTTAGTAAAACCAAAAGGAGAAAGAGGAAGAAAGAAGAAAGGAAAAAGAACAAAAAGAAACAGGACGAGGAAGAGAAGAAAAAGATGTTCCTTAGCTTCAGAGAAAGGGGTGTGTGGGATGGGGAGATAAAATGCTGCATTCACTTCATGTCTTTGTGATAGTCACTGCTGCTTTAATTCCTCTCAGGTTAACACAAAATATTTTGGGGAATATCAAATAAAATTATTTCAGGTAAAACTACCAAAATGTCCAGGGGGTTGGGAAGGGGGGATCCATAATAGAAATAATTTTACCAGAGTGGTACGGATAAGCCCATCTGATAGCAAGAGAGCACTAGAACCAAAACTTTTTTGTTTGTTTTTAGTATATCCCTCTCTTTTATAATGTCATGTCACGTTAATTTTCTTTTACTAGACGATAGGAGTATTTCCACTTTTGTGCAATCTCTGGTTTAATAGCTTTCTGTGGACTGTGGAACTAGGTGTCTAATTTTGACTTTGGTCAAAATAAATTGTGAAAGTTACTGAAAATCAGTACTTCAAATGTGTACAACCCATTCAAAACTAATTTGAAATTGCATGTGGAATTTTGATCAACATTTTCAAGTAGAGTGGAAGGCAGGAAGGCAGGAAGGAAGGAAGGAGAAACCTACTCATTGCTGTGGTTATTTTAGCAACTGGCAGAAACAAAATATGCGTGGAATTGGTAAAGAAAGCAGCTGAAAATAAAATACGTTATAACAATGATGCTTAGAAACCATTATGTAGTTTGTGCATACTGATTGCAAGTCTGGTCACCTCATATCAAAAGGGGCATTGTAG